CATTTAAGCAATGAGATATAAAATGAATTTACAAAAAAAAAACAGAAATTATCGACATTTTATGTAGCCATAACAAAAACTAGAAGGGTATTATAGAAATCTCATTCAAAATAATTTTAAAATATCTGGAAATTACTCAACCTTTAAATATAGAAGCCAACAATTAGATAGTGCCTATTATGTGCCAGGCACTGTGCTAAGTGCTTTACAATTATTATTTCATTTAATCCTCTCAAACACCATGTGAGATAGGTACTATTATTATCCCCATTTTGTAGATGAGAAAACTGAGGCAAACAGAGGTGAATGACTTGCCCAGGGATACACAGCTAGGAAGTATCTGAGGTAGCATTTGAACTCAAGTCCAAGTAGCTCCAGGCCCAGTGCTCTGGGCTCTATGGTGCCATCTAGCTGTCTGGTTAGTCTCCCAAGCTAGTCTGCCAGTCCACGCTCAAGAATTAAATAGTGTAGGTTGCAAGATGGTGATACATTAGGACCCAGATGAGCCTATGTCCCCCACAAACACCCTAATAAGAATATAAAAAGATCCCCAAAGGGGCAGTGATATGGAAAATCAAAGTGAAACACTTGGAAATTTTGTCTGGTCCAGGACTACAGAAAAAAAGACTTTTAGAATCTAATGGAAGCTCTGAAGGGTAGAAGACAAAGCACACTTAGATCCAAAGTAAGAGGTAGGTGTAGGCTATACCCAGGCAATTCTCAGACAGAACTGTTTGAGCCCCATCAGGAGGCAGATGCTGAGCAGCAGAGGCAGAGAACATTCCCACACACAGAGATGAAAAACAAGCTGAGACAGAGCACCAGGACAGGAAGCACCAGAACGGAAAGAAATCTCAAGGAATCCCTGAAGTAGCACTGAATGCAGGAACGAGTGCCACCTAATGGCTCTCTTGCTACCCATTTTCAGGTCACAGATCCAGGGCATAAAGGAGGGGTCATGAGCCAACCAAGTGTGGACCTTAGCCCTAACTGTGTACTAAGCAAGGAACAAATTCTGAAAACCTAGCTGTGTGGCTCTGAGTGCAGAAGCAGAGCAGTGACTCTGCTTTAACCCAGCACATAAGCCTGCAGTGGAACGACCAGGCCAAGAGTGCCAGATCAAAGGGGATCCAGCAGTTCAGTAGCTAACTGCAGTGCAGCAGGGTAGAGTGACTTGAGTCCAGCAGGGGTCTATTGAAATTCAACCGCGCACAAGCAAAGAGACCCAAACCTGGGTCAGGAACTTGCAGAGCTCAGTGAAAGAGGGCAGTGAGTAGACTTTTCCCCAGGTCACACCATTTTGGAAACACTGAAAGCTTTCAGTCCACCAGACTGAGCTGTGAAAGCAGCAGAAGGGTCTAAAAGGACAGAAGCTCAAGTCAGACATCCCTTCCATTAGAGTGCAGAGCCTAACACTAACATAAACTGCAAAGTCAAGAAGTAAGTGGAAAGAATGAACAAACAACAAAATGAACCAGACATAAACAACTACTATGGAGACAGGGAAGCTGAAGATGCAAATACAGAAAGAGAGAATGACTTTAAAATATCTACAAGGAAAGCCTTAAAGAAAAATTGCAGATTGGCCACAAGCCCAACAAAATTCCTGAAAGAGTTGAAGGTTAAAAAAAAAGAGCAAAAAAATTATTTTAAAGCCATGTAAGAGCTATGGAAGAAAGATGTGAAAAGAGAATTAATAGCTTGGTTGGAAATAAAAAAGGTCCATGGAGAAGGAAATGGCAAACCACTCTAGTATCTTTGCCAAGAAAACCCAAATGGGGTCACGAAGAGTTGGAAACCACTGAACAACAAAAAAGAGGTGCAGAACATTAGTGAAAAAAATAACTCCATGAAAATTAGAATTGACTAAATGGAAGATGATGACTTCATGAGACATCAAGAAATAAAACAAAATCAACAGACAAAAAAAAAAAAGAAGAAAATGTGAAATATCTCGTAGGAAAAATAGTTAACCTGGAAAACAGATCAAGGAGAGATAATTTAAGAATCACGATACTGAATGAAAGTCATGAGCCAAAGTATTATATTTCAAGAAATCATGAAGTGGCCCAGATATCTTAGAATCAAAGGGCAAAATGGAAATTGAAAAATTCCCTGGTTACCTCCTTAAAAAACAAAACAAACAAACAAAAAACCCTTCAAATTGAAAATTCCCAGGAATATAGAGGCAAAATACAGAGAATTTTGTATTTGATCCCAAAGGTGATAGGGAGCCATTGGAGTTTATTGAGTATGAGGGTGCCATGATTGGAGCTGTGCTTTAAGAAAATCACTTTGGCAGCTGAATGGAAGATAGATTGGAGTCGGGGAAAGACTTGTATCAGTCAGACCCACCAGCAGACTATGCAATAATCCAAACATGAGTTGATGAGGGCCTGTACTTCATGAGGGGAGTGGTAGGAGAGAAGGTATATAGGAGAGATGAAACCAATATGCCTCGGCATTTGTAACATTGAATATGAGGATGAGAGCGAGAAGTTGAGGGTGATACTTAGGTTTTAAGGCTGGGGAACTAGGAGAGAGGTTTTCTCCTTGACAATAATAGGGAAATTTGGAAAGGGGGAGAATTTAGGGGGAAAGATAATGAAAAAGTTGAAGATTTTATAGAAAAGGGGGATAATTGCAAATGAAATCCACTAGAGAAGATGGGAGAGGATTTCATTACATGTATATGTAGAAGAACTGACCTTAGCAAAAAGAGCCACCTCTTTGTTAGAGCCTGAGAGAAAGGATGAAAAGGTGGAAAATTATGTCAAGGGGGTTTTGAGATAAAGAACGTGGAAGAGAGCTCGAGTCAGATGGCCTCAGATTTCTCCGAAAAGTATGAGCTGAAGTCCTCAGCTGAGGTGGAAGTATGGGAAGTTTGATGAAGGGAGAGAAAATTTGGAATATCCTCCAAGGAAAGTGAGATAGGGAATTAATTAGGGAGTTATAAAAGACTGGACTACCTTGCTCCATTTGAGGTTGGATAACATGATTTTGTAGTGTTCCCCATGAACACTGTTGTGAGACTTCAGTTGTATTCATCAGCTTGTAAGTTCAATTGGAGGTTGTGGATGTTAGGAGTAGACCAGGACTGAGGTTTGGCAAGAGAATAACAGCAATAGGACGAAGAGAAAGAGAGACAAAAGCAAATGACCCTGTAGATCTGAAGTGGATTTCTGTTGGTTTGAGGTTGGAAAAGGAGGAAAGGGATGGTGTCAGGACAGAGGAAGTAGAGTTTCATTGAGGACCAAGAACAGGTTTGGGGAGTGGTGAAGCATAAGGAGAGATGGAATGTTAGGAGGTTCTAATTAGGAAAGTGAAACACATGTGGCTAATAAAGTATTGGCAAGATCAAATGTGTGAACATGCATATAAGTGAATGAGGTGGAGTGAAGGTCATGGGATTTAAGGAGGCTTAGGAATTAGAGGTTGAGGAGTTTCAGGGAAGAAGCCCTCTAGTATAAGGGGAGGTGTTGGGAAGAATGGGAAAATGGTGAGCCAGATACTGAACTCTTTAAGAAAGGAGAGAGGATGACCTGGGGGGTCAATCTGCTGTAGCTACTATAATTTGAATTGAGTGGAAAATTTTGTTTGAGTGGCCTTCACTGCAAAGGCAGAGGGATATTCCTACATTTCCTGAAAGAACATTTTGTCCACTGCTATGAGAGAAGATATAGCCCAGTGAAAGCCAGTGATGCAGTGTCATTAGATGGGAGCTAGGTCTCAGCAAAGACTAAATAGATTGAAGGAATATGAGAGAAAAGAGGTCGAAGATAAAGAGAAATGAGAATTTCAGAGAGTATAGAGAAAGAGATGGTCAGTGTTGCATTGGGATAAGTGTGAAATAGGGCAGAGACTGTGCAGATTAGAAATCTGAAGGAGGAAGACAGTTTTCTACCACTGATAGGGCAGTTATTGGTAAGTTCCAGGATAGGGGAGAAGTCAAAGGAGTATTAATGATAGATGAGTAGAGAAGCTCATACTCTTTAAGGAACATTACAGACGAAAATGGATCTGCATCTTCCCCTAGGGGGTGGGGGTCAGGTTAGTGCTTTTGCTAGTATCATTGTGAGCATGATGGACAAAGACCATGTTTTTTTCATTTCCATTCAAATAAAAGTCATGTATACAAGTTAATTCCTTATATTGCGAATGGAGGAATGTATAATGATGATCAAAGGATTTTGCCAGTGTATTTTATTCCTCTATATATCCGTGCTAATTTTAAAGTGTTTTTGTCTAGAGAAAATATTTTGAAGCAATATTTTAAGAAAAACACTTTGTTAATATGTCATAAACCTGTTCCTACAACTGAGAACCTATTTTAATGTGACTTAACTATCATTCTTTTCCCCATTTTCTTCCCAGAACTTTTCTATTAAAGGAGTCTTCATAATTAAGAAGAGTGTCCAGGCATGCTCTGCCTGACATTGTTAATTGGTTCCATGAAAGCACAATACCTTTAGGTGAAATGATGTTGCATGGGACTGTCAGTTCTGTAGAAATGTCATAAATGAGTGATTGACTGCATGACTTTATGATGGGGCTTGGGTTTAATGCGTCAGTTATAACATAGATTGGGGCAGTGTTATCTTTGATGTGCCTGTATACGATTGTGGAGCAGAAAAACAACTTAAGAAATCATATTAAGCTATATAGCGCCAGTCGATGGGAAAGACAACATATTTAATTTTAAATTCAGTCCAAACTAGGCTATCTTAATATGTTCATTTGCAATGTCCTCTTATTTTCAGCTTTTTATTTCACTTATTTGAGTAGGAGCAAGAAAGAAAAACTGTCAAAAATCTTAAATTGTGCAATACCACCCTAATTCTCTTTAATCCTGGAATACAAACTTACTTTTAAACACAAATATTGTTCATATATTTATTAACCTCTTGAGTAAAGCCATAGCCAGTGGAAAGTTAGGCATTAAAAATCCTCCCTTTCTTAATCTCATTTTATTTAACTCTTTTTTTTCCCCTCCTTTTCAGATACTCAAAAATATTACCTGGTATTCAGAACGGGTTTTAACAGAGATTTCACTGGGTAGTCTTCTGATATTGGTGGTAATAAGAACCATTCAGTACAACATGACAAGAACAAGGGTATGCATTTTACAATGTTTTCCTTTGAAATAATTTGTTTATCCTTTTGCATCTCCAAGTAAAGCTGGATTTTCAAAAATGGGAATACTTTCATGAAATAGAATATGAAAAAGTAAGATTGTCTCATGACCATTGTATTTCATGATTCTTTGCTTTCCTGGGGGTAATGGCTGTAAATAGTGCCTTTATTCAACAGCTGTCTTCAGTATCTTTAATCAATAATACTTGATCAAAAGGATCTAACACAAGAGTTGGGGTGAAGCATTAATTTTAATCTTAGAGAAAAGAATGTAGCTTGTCATTTAAATGTTTGTAAAGAATGGTGAGAGACTATCCCCCTTTCTACTTGGTGTAGGATATCACTGGTGAACTGAGAAAAGAAATTTACCTTTATCAAGTGTCAGCAGTAAAATTCCCCAAGAAAAAAATACTAATGGGTGAAAGTGGAGTGGGAGGAGGATAGGAAATTTCTAGAAGAAAAGGAAAATTTGTACCTTAAACTAGCTATGTATACAGTAGTCCTCAAGATAGCTTTAAGTGCTCAGCAGAAATGCTCTTGTGAACAAGATGCCCAGCAATGAGAAAATGAGCACAGCTGATGAATTCAGAGTTATTTCCCTAATGTAGACAGGTGTAAAATGTGATCATGGTTGGACTCACCTCTCCCATAATTCACTTTTTATAAAATATAACTAAGTACATCTTTCGTTTCTGTTTTCTGACAGGACAAATACCTTCACACAAATTGTTTAGCAGCTTTAGCAAATATGTCAGCACAATTTCGTTCACTCCATCAATATGCTGCCCAGAGAATTATCAGGTAAATAAGCTTTTGTTAAAGTGTAGAATTTCATCTTAAAACTGAGGCTTCTTTTAAACTAATGTCATCTGTAACTTTACATTTTCTCAGTCTTGTTTGTTTGGATTTTTGGTTTAGTTTGAAACTTCATCTTTATGTTCACCTCTGGTTTTCCCCCCAAAAATAAGAGAATTAAATTTCAGCCCCGGTATAAAATCTTTTGATAATTTCCCCCCCTTTTTATCTATGTAATGGTTTTTATTAATTTTGCATTTCTCAATGGCAATCTGAGTTAAACTTGTCATTATCTGTGTTGTACATTAACTTTATACAGCACTTGAAGTGTTTACCTGTGTTTATTTCAAAGAAGATAATCTGTTTAAGGGTTTTTTCTCCCCTCAAACCTACATTGACAAGTTAACAGGTTATCAAGTAAATTATAAATCTCAGTTTCAGGGATTTTCAAGCATTGCATTGAGATAATTCATAACTACTGCCTTTCCCTTTCTCCCAGGAAATACTCAGTATAATTTTAACATTTTTCAAGTTAAACACATTTTATAATTCAGTTAAGTAAGATTAGACGTATGTGCATAGGATATATATCTTGCTTTGAGAGAATTGTGATTTCCCCCCCAAAAAAAACCCCACCAACTAAACATTTGTTAAACCCCTATTATGTGCCAGGAACTATGCTAAGTGCTGGGGATACAAAAAGAGGCAAAAGATGGTCCCTGCCCTCAAGGGGCTTACAGTCTAATGGAGGAGCTTACAATCTCATGGTCCTTAACCCCTCACCTCTGTGTTTCTGGCTATTGTAGGTGATCAGCAGGACACTGTCCTTTACCCAATACAAATCTCACCTTTAGCCCTTTGATTAGGAACTTACATTAATTTGGAGTTATTTTGGCAATTGCTCTAATTCATTCTAAATCTTAAACATTTATGAATCTATCTGCCATACCTCCTGGGTAAATTTAGACACATGAAAAATATAAAATATGATATAATTTTTTACTGTAATTCTCTTACCTAACTTTGTGTCTTCAGTCCATAAAACACACCAATTAATGATTACATGCTAGTTTATTCATTATAATGTAGATAGATTTCTTGTTTTTATGACTTGAGAGCATCCTTCTTTATTTCATTTCTTTCTATTCCATACTGTCCTCATCTCCTCCTTTTCCCTTAAAAAAATTAACAATGAATTTTCATCATTTATCAACCATCTAGAACCCTATTTAGAAGGCAAATTTATTTCTTGATTTTCTTTGAACTCTGTTATTACCTAGTCTTAGATTTGGAAATTCTTGTGAGTTTCAAACTAGTTTGAGGGATAGTATAGTTGAATGATTTTATTTTAACCCACATTTAGAGATTTTAAAAATACCTAACAGTCCATTTATGTATTTAGAGACTTGTAGTTAATTGGGTAGCTAGGTGGTGCAGTGGATAGAGTGCTGAGTGTGGAGGCAGGAAGACCTGAGTTCAAATCCAGTGTCAGATGCTTTCTAACTGTGTGACCCTGGGCAAGTCACTTAACCTCTCTATGCCTCAGTTTCCTGAATTGCAAAAAGGGATAATAATAGCATTTACCTCCCAGGGTTGTTGTATGGATCAAATGAGATAATTTGTTTAAAAAAAAAGACTTAGTACATTGCCTTTCACATAGTAGGTGCTATATTAATGTTTCCTTCCTTTCCTAGGGGTTCTTAGCCTTTCTGTGTCATAGAACTTCATTGATCTAGTGGATCCTATCGATCCCTTCTCAAAGTAATGTTTTTAAATGCCTAAAATAAAATATATAGGATTGTACAGAAAGCCAGTTGTATTGAAATACAGTCAGTAGATGAGAAGGTTGCAACCATATATGACTTAGGAGGTCTAATAACTATAGTAATTTTTAAGTAGTGATGAGCATAAATAGTATCTTGAGATATATCTAGCAACTGTGATATGTTATGAAAATATCTGTGATTTCTCTTGCTGGCAGAGTCACTGTGGTTTATTGCCTCCACTCATAACAAAAGGAAATACTACATTTCATTTAGAGTTTGGTGAAAATAAAGATGCAATTTTTTTCCATCCAAGTTCGTGGACTCCTTAAATCCCTGGACCCTAGGACTCTTATCTTAGTGAAAGAATGATGTTGCTTACAAAACTTAGTCATTTGAGGGCCTAAAGAATCACAATTTGGGCAGGTATGTGGCACAGTGGAGTCAGGAAGACCTGAGTTCAAATCTGGCCTCAGTCACATAATACTTTTCTAGCTGTGTGACTCTGGGCAAGTCACTTAACCCCAATTGCCTCGTAAAAAAAACCAAACAATCAAAATTACCTTGTTTTCCAGTAGTTCAGTTGTGTCTGACTCTTTGTTGACCCCATATGGGGTTTTCTTGGAAAGGGTACTATAGTAGTTTGACATTTCCTTCTCTAGTAAATTGGGGCAGCTAGGTGGTGCAGTGACTAGAGTGCCTGACCTGGAGTCATAAAGACTCATCTTCCTGAATTCAAATCTGGCCTCAGACATTTACTAGCTGTGTGATCCTGGACAAGTCACTTAACACTTTGCTTCAGTTTCCTCATCTGTAAGATGAGCTGGAGAAGAAATGGCAAGCTACTCCGGTCTCTGCCAAGAAAACCCCAAATGAAATCATAAAAAGCTGGATGAGACCGAACAACAGCAGCATCTCCAGTGGATTAATGCAAACAGAGGTAAAGTGACTTGCACAAGATGATACATTTAGTGGGTCTGAGGATGAATTTGAACTGAGGTCTTCCCTACTCCTTTCTTCCTTACTCCAGGCCCAGGTTTAAAATCATTGCTTAGTGATTGAAGAATTTAAAATTAAAATGATCCTAAGTTAATCGTAAGGGATATGGTTATCCTGAACAAAAGGTACATCCTAAACAAAAAAGAAAATATTAAAGTAGTAAGTGTCATTGATTTACTTTGCATGGTTCATAAGTAGCTAGATAGCACAACAGATAGAGCACTACTCCTTGAGTCAGGGAGACCAGGGGACAAATCCATCCTCACATATTTACTAGCTGTGTGACCTAAGCAAGTCACTTAACCTGTTTGCCTCAGTTTCTTCATCTGTAGGATGGAGATAATAACAGCACTTATTATCCAGCATTGCTGTGAGAATCAAATGAGATCATATTTACAAAATGCTTAGCACCATGCCTGGCACATACTAGATGCCATATAAATACTTATTCCCTTCCCCATATTTGCCAAAAAAACCCCTCCAAAAACTGCAAATGGGAAGTTCTTCTTTATAGTATAGAAGAAAGAATACTGATGACATACTGGCTTCATCGATTACCATGTGACCTTGGGCAGTCAGTTTGCTTTAGTTTCGCCATTCACAAAAATGAATTCAGTAATCCTGGCACTACTGATTACACCAGGTTGTTGTGAGAAAAAAAATTGTAAATTGCCAAGCACTCCATAAATATGAGCTGCCATTTTCATTTTCCATATTAAATTCTTCCTTCCTGCTCATTTGTTGGAGCTAGCTCTGTAAGTCTGTGGGCTACTTAGTTCTCCCTGGGCCTCCGCTTCCTCTTATATAAAATGAGAGGGTTGGACCAGAGAATTTCTAAGTCCTTTTAAATTTTAAAAAGCTGTAAATTGGAACAGCTAGGTGGCACAATAGATAGTGAACACCTTGGAAAGGTGCTGTAGTAGTTTGCCATTTCCTGAAGTCAGGAGGACCTGAGTTCAAATCCAGGCTCAGACACTTAACTAGCTGGGTGACCCTGGGCAAGTCACTTAATCCCAATTGCCACTAAAAAATGCTATGAGTCCTTCATGAGTCTCTGGTTTGTTCATTTAAAAAGGAAGACAGATAAACCCTGGGTAGTAGTTTCTACTTGCATTTCTGCTTGACAACTTATTTATTGCTCTTTATCTTCTTTATCCTGCTTCACTCTCTTGTTCTTCTGTCATCTCACCTAGATTATGAATGCAGTATATGTGTGTGGGGGTGGGGGTTAAGTCCTAGAAGGAGATTTTTTTAAACCACACAAGAACTCTAAACAGTGAACAAGCACTTATTAAGCACTTGCTGTATGCCAGGCACTACAGATATGAAGACAAAAATAAAATATTATCTGTCCCCACAGAGCTCATGTTCCCTCAGGGAAGGCAGTGTGTGTGTGTGTGTGTGTGTGTGTGTGTGTGTGTGTGTGTGTGTGTGTGTGTGAGTGTGTGTGTGTGTGTGTGTGTTTATTAATGGAAGGTAATTTTTTTTCTTTGCTGATGGGGAGGACACTAGTTTTCTGTTCATCTCAGGAAACTTCCCTTCTGGATGTAAGCCTGGCCTGATGCTAGCTAATTAGCCAGTTCTAGGCTCCCCTTCTCTCTCCTTCCACCCCATGGTAGATTCCGCTAATCTCTCGGGCCCCAGGCTGTTATGATCTTTGAGCCGTGGTGAAATGCCTCAGACGGTACTTTGCCCACAATCATCACATGTGCAAACATCTTATGTGCTTTATCTCATTGGATCCTCACCAATACTGTAAAGTAATTGCTTTGAGGATTTTTTACATCTAAGGAAACTAAGACTGCTCATTTAGGTGATTCCATGAATCAGCTCAAGAATTTGTTCAGCTCTCTTAACACATGCCAGACCAAGGTCAATACAAACATAAAAATGAACAATGTCTTGCCCTCAAGAAGCTTACATTGTAGTAGGAAAGACAGTCTGTTCCTAAATAAGAATATATGAAATATGTGCAAAAACAATTTGGCAGGGAGGGCACCAGCTCCTGGAGAGTGGCTCTGTATAGGAAAAGGTGTGCAGACTGACTTTTAAAGGAAGCAAGGGTTGATTTTGTTTTTCTTTTTGTTTTGGTTTGGTTTTGTTTCTCTTGCTGTTGTTGTTGTTGGTTTTGTGGGGGGGGTTGAGGGGTTTTTTTGCATTTTACTAGGCAAGTGAAGTTAAGTGACTTGCCCAGGATAACACAGCTAGTGTTGTGTGTTGTGTGTCTGAGACTGGATTTGAACT